TCGTTGCTACTTCATAACTGTAATTTTGCTACTGGTATGAATCATAATGTAAATATCTGATATGCAGGATGTATTTTCATTGTTACAAATTGAACATAATTAAAGCATAGTGATTAATCACAAAGACAATATGTAATTATATATGTGTTTTCCGATGGTCTTAGGCGGCCCCTGTGAAAGGGTCGTTTGACCCCCAAAGGGGTCGCGACCCACAGGTAGAGAACCGCTGGTCTAAATCCTTCTTTCTGTAAACTCTCTCTTGGTCTTCCCATATGCTAAGGGAAGTGATCTACCCTTTTATTTTCTGTATCTCCTGTTTTGGGGGGTGTGGTTTTCAATCGCAACAACTCAGGTAACATCAGATTAGGAAGAGCAAATGAAAAATAACAGATTAGTTAAAGGTAATCAGAATGAACTAGTGAAATGATCCTGGTTTTTATTGTAACAATCCACTCTCATTCCTAGCTTTATAAATCATCTGTCCTCAGGTAGCATAAACCAGTGGGTAAAACTCATGTTTCCATTTTAATGATGCCTAAGGTTTTTAATATGACAGTGTTTCCATCTCTAAAAAACATGTTTCAAAAGTAGTAGGGAGTAGAGAGTGACTCCTCTATCCTTGCCGTTTGGACATAAAAGGCATGAAAGATAGACTACTAATAAAAAGAGTTTTAAGAGATTCCTTTAACTATTTTTAACTCGAAATGTAACAAGCAGATTTTTGTGCAATTCCCCTTAGGCACAGACTGTGTGCAGTGGAGAGACCGGAAACCATGTGTCTGTTAACTGGAGGAGCCCCCACCCCAATGACTGTGAGCATCCAGGACAGGACCGCTGGGAGAAAAGGAAGGCAGGACAGACTCTGATAAACAAGCACGCAAACAAATTAATTATGCAACTTAGACATGTCTGAACTTGGTTGGGCAGGGAATCTAAGAGGCCGACTGTGCGTGAGGGGTCATGCTTGGCTGCCACAATCGCCAGCTCTGATCGCCCTCAGCATTTCATAAAACTTTCTAGGAGCTGCTGTGGTAGCAGAGATACCTCTGGTGTACCCAGGCTCCCTGCTCAGTCTGGGTTGTGGTCACTGCGGTGTTTGAAGTTCAGGAGACAGGCACCACTTACTGACTCACCTGGTCTCCTAGGTGAGAGGTGCAGGGCAGGTGGAGTTGTCCTCCCCAGATAACATAAGCGCCCAGGGAACTTGCCACCAAGTCACTCCACTGCTGCAGCGCACATGCTGTGTTGCTCCATGCATGTCCCTGGTCTGCCCGGCGTCTTCATGCCACGCAGAGTTCTCCCGTCCACTAAACCCCCTCCTTTATCACACTGATCAGCTCAGGGTTGCCCCCTTGTACCTGAACAGAGGAGCTACAGGGTCAGCTTGCACAGGCGACCCGGCTGCATCAAGAGGAGACAGAGAAATTTACACACAAGATCGGAAAGGTAAATATGTCACGTGGATTTCAGCACAACCATGTCTCAGACCACAGAGCCCCTCCAGAGAGATGACAAGATATGTTTTTTTAAAAATATATTTTTATTGGTTTTTTACAGAGAGGAAGGGAGAGGGATAGAGAGCTAGAAACATCAATGAGAGAGAGACATTGATCAGCTGCCTCCTGCACACCCCAACTGGGGATGTACCTGCAACCAAGGTACATGCCCTTGACCGGAATTGAACCTGGGACCCTTCAGTCCGCAGGCCGACGCTCTATCCACTGAGCCAAACCAGTTAGGGTGACAAGATATGTTTTAAAAGAACGCTGTCTGACCTCATGGGCTGGAGGTCGTATGGAAAGGTCATCCAGTCCCGCACCCCACTCAGACACTCATGAAGATAACTGTCTTCCTTTCTGTTCTAAAATATGCTTTTCAATATTTACAGTGTGGTTTCAGGGAGTTCTTAATATCTAATCTAAATTTCCCTGCATCCAGAACCAGCAAAGTAAAGTAAAATAAGGGCTCTATTGCAACTGGACATGAATGTGTGTCGAACAACTTTGGTGAGGTGTCCCCCAACACACCCAGGGCAGAGGAGCCTCCGCACCTCAGGAAGTGCGGAAGTCGTGGGACAGCGGAGGCCTGGAGGCCTCAGGCAGTGGAGGAGAGGTCAGAGGGCGAACCAGGAAGGGGCATTCCCAAGAGGCTGCAGATGAAAGGACAACTCACCCTAAATCGTTGTCTTCAGAAAACGTTCATTAATTGAGCTGTGGCTTCATTAGCTCTTCTAGCTATTTTAGAATAAATTGTTACTGGCTAATTATCCTTTATCCATTAGATCCTCTCCCAGGGCGCCCAGTAGGAAGGATTCGCAGACACAGGCACTCTGCCAGGGGCCTCCCTGAGGACTGCCCAGTCCCTGCTGCCACCTCAAATCTGTAAACAGATATGCGGGCTCAGAATCGCCCTTGCTGCCTTTTCCCCGTTGTATTCTCAAAATATACTTGTATTTTTATTTTTTTATTGGGAAAGATACTTGTACTTTTAAAAACAAAAACCAGTTGGTCTTGACCAGGGCACCGCGATGTTGTAAAATACATGTCTAAGGTATCCAAGAATTTAACTCATGGGCCCCCACGTTGTCCATGGTTCTGCTCATCTAAGTCGGTCAAACCTGATTAAGGGAGCGCCTTCTGCACCTCAAGGCTTGGGGAGAGCAAAGCTGAGTGCTGAGATCTAAGTGCTCTGCCAACCTCCAGCAGCAGACGCACGGCCCTTTTAAACGTTTCACTGATAGGTCCAGTGTCACATATTACAAAAGGAAAGTAGTTTCATATTACCCAAAAGGTAAATTCCTAAGTAAATAACCTTTTTTTTTTTTTTTTGCATTCCACCAAAAATCCTGTTTGAAAATGAGTTTATTCCTGGAGATGCTGATAGCCAAGTGGCAGGGTCCCAGGTGCTTCTAGTGCTTGTATTCAGGGTGAAGGAGTGTGTGGAAGAGGCTCCCAGACCTTGGCCCCAGGTGGTGTGGTGTCATCCAGGCTTGTTCTGAGGGGAGGGGAAAGGAAGGGAGGGGGTCCCCTAACACACCCCAGGGCAGAGCAGCCACTCTGCGCCTGGGGAAGTGCGTGGAGTCTGGAACAGCGGAGGCCACAGGGCAGGGGAGGAGAGGTCAGAGCGAGCCAGGAAGGGGCATTTCCAGGAGAGACTAAGACAGCGGTTCTCAACCTGTGGGTCGTGACCCCTATGGCGGTCGAACGACCCTTTCACAGGGGTCAGGGGTCGTCTAAGACCATCCTGTATATCAGATCTTTACATTACGATTCATAACAGTAGCAACATTACAGTTATGAAGTAGCAATGAAAATAATTTTATGGTTGGGTCACAACATGAGGAACTGTATTTAAAGGGCCAGAAGTTTGAGAACCACTGGACTAAGAGAACACCCCCCAGTGCTGCATCTCCTCTTCCTAACACCCTGTCGCCTCTGGAGTGAGTACCTGCCAAGAGCTAGGAGCTCTGCACAGCATTTCCTGTTACCTTAACCGTTTTGTAACTGAGGACGTAGAAACTACCAGAGGCAGTTAGTGGCCTAACGTAAGTTGAGAGCTGGATTTCCAGTACAGTAGGCTGCCCCTTACCTACTCTGTGCTGTCCTTGTGTCCGGACAGGGGAGAGAACAAGGGTGGGACTCAGGGCAGCTAAGCTGCTGAATTGAATCCGCTAGAAGTGCAAACAAATCTGGTGCTAGGACAGTAGCCATGCAGTCATTGCCCAGACCAGGGACCTCCCTAAAGCTGTCTCTGCTCTTCACTGGCCTTCAGCACAGCCACATTCATCGGCCCAGGCAGTGGTAGTCATATTCCCATGGTTTCCACACGCTAACCTAGTACTTTAGGAAAACAAAACAAAACCCACTGCCTTGGTTTTTGGCGCAGGAGGGAGTGTTAAATTAGGAGAGGACAGCTGATAATGATCCTAACCCTTTTTTCACCCCACTTCAGCTACTGTAGGTATCCTTTTTAAAAAATATATATTTCTTTATTCATCTCAGAGAGGGAGAGAGAAATAGAAACATCAATGATGAGAGAGAATCATGGATCAGCTGCCTCCTGCACGCCCCCGCTGGGGATCGAGCCCACACCCGGGCATGTGCCCTTGTCCAGAATAGAACCTGAGACCCTTCAATCCACAGGCTGATGCTCTAGCCACTGAGACAAACTGGCTAGGGCAGACTATAGGTATTCTTGTGCCCTTGTCTGTAAGATTAAGATTTTATTCATATCCTTTTGCTTAGTCATTATTGACATGTAATAATTGCTTATTGCTTGGAAGAGTGCCAAGACCTGTGCTGTAAAAGCAGGAACTTGATGGAGAGATGGAAAACATTTCGTTTTAGCAGAGCTTTTATTTCCTTAAGACTTACCCACATGTAATAGGAATGTGAAATCTTAAGCGTGAAAGTGGATGTAGGTTATGGACATGCTTCCCTGTTTGCTCACCACCATGAGTGGAGTACTTCGTGTTTGGAAAGAGCGTCTGGAGGCCCCAGCTCTCCTTCGCAGGCTCTCTGTGGGCCTCTTCTCAGCTTGCTGTTCTCTGTCAGGGGCTGGGGGTTGGGAGGGGTCAGAGGGCCCAATAATTCAAGGGGAAGGATTCCTCCTTCTTCCCCCTTCACAGTTGCAGTGTGCCTTTGTGTGCAAGCCCAGGTTCAGAGGCAGGTGGAATCTGCATTTAAGTGAGCTATAGCCATGCATCCAAGAAATAATTTTCCTGAAGGCATCCCGAAGCATCTAAAAACACCAGGGGAGACGTGACCATGAGAAATTATAATACCTTACCTTGAAATAGCACTTTCTTCTAAATCAGAAAACTCGGAATGTTTTATAAATAGTGAACGACTCAAGGAGTTCACCAAACTTCTGTTGGTTTCTGTTTCAGGCACCACATGCAAATTGGTATGGATTGAATGGCAGTTTGAAAAGACTCTTAGTTTGGTTTGGGTGGCACATGGGGATCACTGCCTGTCACACTCCCTTTTCTTCGGTTCCAGATGGAGGAGGATCACCTCTACGCCCTGAGGTGGAAGGAACTGGAGATGCACAGCCTGGCTCTGCAGGGCGCCCTCCCGGAGCGGACCTGGAGCGATGAGAGGAATCTCGTGCAGCAGGAGCTCCGGTCCTTGAAGCAGAACATTTTCCTTTTCTACGTCAAACTCAGGTGGCTGCTGAAGCACTGGCGACAAGGGAAACAGATGGAGGAGGAAGGAGAGGACTTCACTGAGGTACCTCCACCCGGATTCACAGGGAGTTCACTGTTATTTGCATCGGTTTTGTTCTTGACCCCCAGGCACTGCCGTGCCCCTCCCCGCTGCACACAGTCATGTTCTGTTAGTTCAGATTGTTTTGTCAAGTCTGCCCCAGGCGATGGAAATGCAATGGGTTGTCCAGTTATATTCCAGCCCAAGGGTTCTGGTCTGTCCTTTGACCTCGTTGCAAGAGTATATGGGTCAGTAACTCCGTTCTGCAACAGTGTTTTGCTGCCATCTCTTTTGTCGCTGATTTATAAATTTATTCAAATGATCACCCTGCCATCCCTGACTGTCTCCCTCTACCTTGCTAGTTTGTAAAAACTAGTTCTAAGTTTAAATTTTTATTCCTAAATGTCAGAGCCCATTCTGCCAGTGCAGTTTTATAAGGGTTTCTTCTAAGCTCCGGGTGGGTCACTTCCTTGCTGCCTCTGAAATTTGTGTGTGTTCTCCTAAGAAAGGGAACATGCCTCCATTCCAAGGTTCATAACAGAACCAGAACAGTTGTTTGTTTTCAGATGGCTCTTTATTGATTAAGCAGAGTGGCCGTGAGCTCTCTGTGAGCGCAGGCTGGTATCCACACTGCTCGCCACTCTGTCAGCTGCTTCAGACACTGAGCATGTTGGTTTCCTTTTAGTCCCCAAAGACCTTGCAGCTGCTTTTCACTCTAGTGAGCAGGGTAAGTAATTTTAAGTCATCCTATGATTGGGAAGATACGGTGATCCTCTTTCCTCAGGGTGAAGAAAGTCTTCAAAAATTAATTCAACCTGCTCCCAAATATCCATGACAGAAAACCATCACTAAGCAAAACCTAGAAGTAGTTGTAAAGTTTTGTCAATACTTTGGACTTTTTCCTCTAATTTAAAACCATAACTGTAAGCAATAATCCTAAAAAATAAAAGGCTAATAGGCAAATTGACCGAACGGTGGAACAACCGGTCACTATGACGCACACTGACCACCAGGGGGCAGGTGCTCAATGCAGGAGCTTCCCCCTGGTGGTCAGTGCACTCCCACAGGGGGAGTGCCGCTCAGCCAGAAGCCAGGCTCACGGCTGGCGAGCGTAGCGGCAGTGGTGGGAGCCTCTCCCACCTCCGCATCAGTCAGACATCCCCCAAGGGCTCCTGGACTGTGAGAGGGCGCAGGCCGGGCTAAGGAACACCCCCTCCCCCCCAGAGTGCACGAATTTCATGCACCGGGCCTCTGTAGTTTATAAATAGTAAAATGTCTAATCTTTTCTAGTAAACTGTAGTTACTAAACTGCATGCTATATAAATGGAGAACGTGACCAGTGAGTGAAAGAACCATCATGAGCATATTAGGGGGAAGGGCTGAGAAATGAAGAGTTGATAAAGCCCATAAAATGGGTAATTATCTTCCAACCATAAAAATCAGACTGCTCAGCAGAAGGATTTGGGTAAAGCTGTGATCCTCTTCTCTTGCTGTTTTCAGAGTGAGCACCCAGAGCTCTACCCCAGGCCTGGGGAGCTTGGAGTCCAGGGGGACCCAAACAGGGCCAGCCCAGACCGAGATGACGATGGTCCAGGCTGCGGTTCTTCGGTGGGGGAGCATTCTCCACACTCCCCCGTGCAGATCGGTGACCACGGATCACGGCTCCAGCCTGCAGATGGAGGGCAGCTCCACGGGCAGGTGGGTGCCGAGTCCCAGCCCCCCATGCTACCCACACCTGGGAGAGAAGACTCCAGTCTGTGTCTGTATCATTTTCCATCATGGGCCGGTGTTCTGGGGAGCAGCAAATGTCTCTGGCGGTCTGTGGCTGCCTGTTGCTGTAATTTTGCTAGAAGTCACATCATGAAGGCTTTTACGCTGATGTCAGCCTGTTAGTTCATTTGGCTTACACGTATAAATAAGGACCACAGGAGAGCAGATTGGCTGTGTCCCCTGAAGGCCAGCAAATGTGCTGCAGACAAAGAGAGAGTATTCTGTAGAGTGGTCTGAGGCCATATAAAAGCTGACCGTTCTTCCAAGGAACGAATACTGAGTGCCACATGTCCAACATGGAAGGAAAAAGGAAGTCCAGGGCTTCTGTGTGGATGTTCAGCTGAATGGACACTTGAAAATGGCACTAATTTGGTAATATAATGGGTAAGGAGGAAGGGACCAGTACTTTTTTATTGTTGTTGTTAATCCTCACCTGAGGATATTTTTTTCCATTGATTTTTAGAGAGAGTGGGAGAGATGGGGAGAGACAGGGAGAGAGAAACATTGATTGGCTGCCTCCCGTACATGCCCCAACCAGGGCCGGGGACCAAGCCTGCAATTGAGATACATGCCCTTGACTGGAATCAAACCTGAGACCCTTCAGTCCACAGGCCCATGCTCTGTCCACCGAGCTAAACTGGCCAGGGCTGGAACAAATACTTTTTAAAAAATATCCCCAAACATGTAAAGTGTTTCAGGTTCTTTTGGGGCCACCTGATATATAAAAATATTTGATGACACTTAAAAAAATTAAAGAGGTGGGATTTCAGTGTAATACTAAGTAATTATTAGTGTTCCTAGAGGCCACATTTATTAATTATTAAACAGATAGACCTTGCTTAGTAACCCAAGATACTATTGCTACCATCCAAATTTTTTGCAGTTTTATATGAAACAGCAGCCTTGGTGGGCTTGGAGTGTTGAGACCTTGTGAGGCACCGGTCGTTAAAGCTTCCTCACTCCCAGACTTCCTCTTCTGAGTCTTTTTGGACCCTATGTTGCTTCACTGAGAGTTCCATAGGGCAGAGCCTGAGGCCCCAGCCCTGGACCCTGGCTCTGGGGTGAGGGGCAGGGCCGGAGTCACTCTGGGAGGGCGGGTGCAGCTGCAGCCGCTCAACCACAAGCATATTTGGGCACTCCCTCTGCAGGGACGCCACAGCTGCAGCCCCTCCCTCAGCCCTGAGCCTCAGAGGGTCAAGCGGGAGAGGCTGTGTCAGCACTTGGCCTCAGATCCAAGTGACAGAAAGTGGTGATGTGTGAGCACAGGCCTGGGGAAATGTGTCCTTTCCCCCTTACTGCTTTCTCTCCATATACAAATAAGATTTTCACAACTGAAGAGCTGCCTCTCTCTCTCTCTCTCTCTCTCTCTCTCTCTCTCTCTCTCTCGTTTATTGTTTGTTTAATCCAGACACATTCAAAATGCAAACTGAAAGAATACTTTTCACCTGAAACAATTAAACTAGATTCTACTAGCATAAAATACCTAACACATGACAGCAGTAGAGATGATAATCATTGTCCTCTATATCTACTAAAGCAGAGATGGAAAGCCAATTTGGTTGCAGAAATGTCATAAGGATAGACTATTATCATTAAAAAATCAACAAATAACAGTAATGGTAGACAACTGTTTTTACTCTGGCTCACTGGACAGGGGACAGTATGTTAAAATTCCACGGGACTGCAAGTGAACAGTCACCACGTAGACTCCTCTGTGTGGTGTTTTAATGATTTATTCCTGGTGAGCAAAGATGGAGGCTGAAAGACTTTGCTCTAATTTTCTATTACCCTGAACATTGGCCGTTACTTTTGGTGCCAAGCATTTTTCATGAGTGGCAGGACAATATCCTGGATTTCTAACATATATATATTTGGGAGGGATAATAGTTTCAAGTACTATACATTAAAAAGTATAAAAGTCTTTTCAAAGGGAAAAAGAAAAATCCTTAAACCCCCAAAATGGAAACTATTATTATCTGTGTCCCCAAAATATATGCAATAGTGTAAGACTTTCTCATGGAAGATCTCATTCAAAGGGAAAAAAGGGACAGATTTAATTTTACTTATATTGTCAAGTACATGAAAAACAAAATATGTGCATCATTTGCTAGTTTACTAAATAGCAAACAGTTTTCACAGTTCAGAACCAGTGTGCTACTGCGTCAAGTGCGTATTTGTTTTTACCAGGAGAAGAATGGAGATGCCTTCCAGGCGAACAAGCAGCTCTCAGTGGTCACACTGAAGAGCTGTTTTCTATGCACCCCCACCCACCCTTCCATTTCCCCCACTAATGTGACTCAAGAAAGAGGAATTTTCAAAGGCACTTTTAATTACAGTTATTAGGAAGTTCGTCATAATGCCAGAGTCCATGGGGAGAATTTAGCTCATGGGATGAATTTTACAACAATGACTTAGAAAATAAAATGCTACTTTGCAAAATAATCCTTTAAAATCTGCCAGTTTTTTTTAAACAAATGTTATTTATTTTAATGAAGCTGGTACAGACAATGTCCACTTAAAACCCATATCCCAGGCCAAAAAGTACAAATAAACTAAAAAAGAGCAGTGTTCCTTTGTACCCACTTCTACTCAAATAACTTTATTAACTGCTAATGAAAATTAGAACTTCCTGGGATCTTCTGACAAGATTTTTCTCTACTCTTAAATGCTTTCTCTTTAGCCTTCATCCTCACCGTATCTGTCATCTTGACTCCAACCACACATTCCTCTTCTTTGGGTCCAGACCCTCAGATTTTAAAAGTAGCTTCCAGTCAAGGAAAGGTCATTTTCCATCTCCCCCTGAAAGTCATAGTCCCGGAGTGCGGCTAACACATGCTAGAACCTCGGGGCCGGGTGGCAGTCGTTATGAGCACCTGCATTGGCCGACCTTATTGATCACAAGCCTGAAGTGCACGGTCCTGGAAAAGGTGCCTCCCTGCTCACACAGGTAACATTTCAAAAGGACAGGGCAATGCGGAGGAGGCTGAGGCTTCATCACCCAAAATCAGCACAATGAAAACCAACAATAATGAATAATGGGCACCGGAATTCCCATTGCCAGCTGTTTAAAAGAAACAGGGTGCCAGTTTTCAACCCATTTTGAACACTACTTTACAAAAGAACTGTTTTTAAAAATAAAAAAAGGTTTGAGAGGAAAAAAAATAGAAAGAATATCTAAACCGTTGAATGACCCCCTGTGTGTTCCTGATAAACTTCAGTCACATCTTCTTCCTCCATTCCCAGTTCTTCTGGAGTGTGATTATCAGCAATTCTCTGACCTCCCCAGAGAAACCCCGCGTGAAGGCATTGGACTCCCAGTCTTCAACAATATGAATCTTTCAGTGCCTTGAGATGTGTCGTCATTTTCACGTTGAAGTGCATCTCACGGCTATCCTGTCCAAAGACTGAGTTTAATGTATTCTCCTTCCTTCTTACCCCCATGTCCTTGTGAAGGTTTTGCCTGCTGGACGGACATGGGGATGGTGGCTTCACGGGGGTCTCCTCCGCACAGCAGTGGCCTAGGGTAGAGTGAACCTCGCCCCAGGGTTTACAAATCTGTCTCTCTTCCCTATAGCACAGCACTGTTGCTGGACCAGTTTTATTGTTTAAAAAAAGATATTGGCCACCAATACTATAAAGTATCTGTGATGAACTCAAATAGTATTTCTTGATTTCCATTTAGTTGAAAACCTGCTGCACTAAGATCATGCGTTGGGTGTTCCTCACATGCGCGTCCAAATGCTTTGGAGAAGAAGAAAAAAACGTAACATCTGGTTTTCTAAACCAGAGTCATGGAAAATTTACCCCTGGGGTGAAAACTGATGTAAAGTCACTCAGCTGGAACCTCGCATTCAGTGTATTTTAATATCATCTCTCCTTTCCTCCTCTTCCAACGCTGATTTTTTAGATCTTCCCCTTCAAGTGGTGAGGGACCCATGGGTTTTCACTTTGTGCAGCAGAGGCACGTGGATGGACTCCCAAGGTAGTGCCCAGATCGTGGGAATCAGCTCTGCCTTTAATGGACCCATCTCTCCATAGTCATTAAGTGCACACTGCCATCCGCCCAAGGACAGAAGATGAGTGAGCTCCGCTATAAGCGACAGCTGGCTCCCTGAGACTTCCCTTAGAAGGGTTGCCCGCTCTTCAGTGGCCTGGGTATTAGCTGGGCAGCCTGGGTGTCTGACAGAGCTGCCGAACAGAGCCACAGCCTTTCAGAAACTCTGAGAAACCCCCCTCCCTGCCCCGCAAGGTGATAAGCAGAATGAGCAATGACGCTGAACTTCTTTCCCAAGGATAAACTCACAAGTAACAAAATTTCCCAGGCCTTGATCTTTAATTTGTGTCATATTGAACATTCTCCAAGTTGAACACAGTAAATGGCAACATTGATCACATACAATGAGGTAAAAAAAAAAATTACATGTATTGAGTCAACCTTGGAAATAGATCATGGAAACCATCAGGTTGGAAAGTGGTTGGCTGTGCGAATGCTCCCTGTTGACTGGTCTTTGGCTGTGCCATCTGCAGCAGTGACCTGATTGTCCTTGCGAACAGTCAGCTTGCCTTGTGGCAGAGCAGAGGCTGGGAGTAGGCAAGGGCATGTTAGATAGTTCTCATTGAGCTCCAGGATGCTTGCCACTTGCTGCTGTGTTAAGCTCTCGAGACTAGCACCGCTAAGGATGTGTGCATTTAATATTCATTAGTAATTCCTGAAATCAAGGTTTGTTTTTAAACAAGGTGACTAATAGTGCCAGAATTATGACCCCATGTTTCCAGCAGCCAGTCTTCCAAGATTTGGATTAATTTTTTAAAAAGAGAAGTTACTTTTTCATTCAGGGATGTGACATACTATTCTTTATTAAAGCATCTAAGTATAAACATAAGGAATCTAATCTAAAATTAGAGCAGGATCTGATGCAGTGTTGTTT